AGTGAAAAGGCACTCACAATTGCTCTTGGGTCCGTATGGCTGAACATCGATATCCGGTAAAAATTCGGCAATCAAGTCGCTGGAAAATTCATCTTGAAATACAAGTTTCATGAAAAATTAGGGAATCAGCCTAGTACCGAAATACAAGTTTTTAAAATTAATGTTGTTCAAATGGTATAGAAACGCACTTGTATCCTTGTGAGTGCAAAGTAATATTGATACGATCCTTGCAAACATATTTCTGTGCCAATGGAGCTGTTATGATGATTGACGAGTTGTCTGACTTGAACGTCACGGTTTCATCTAAAAAAATCATAAAGTTAAATAAAGACGGAATGACAATAGAAATACGCTCTATTTGGCAATTTGGGCTGGATACTTGAGCAGTAAAGTTTTATAATTGCCTTCAACATCGCTATTTTAACATTGGATTTCTAAAGTTAGTACTCGACCATCAAGTTGAACGTCTACTATATCTAAAAAAAAATGGAAACAGCCTTCATTCCATTTTGAGACCTCAATTTATGGCGAGAAATGTATACCGTACCTTTGTAGCTCTCCTCGTAAACCACATTGCGAAGCTGCCAGCGCAGTTCCTCGTACTTCTTTACAAGCACGGTTTTCTGAGACAAATCAGCCCGTTCTCCATAAACTCTTCATATTTAGTTTTCCTAGACCTCACCGTGCCAAAATAAAATCGCATGACTTTCTCTCTATTATTGTGCACAGAAGTAGCTGTAAGCAACGCATCACCCTTTGCTTCTTTGGCACAATAGCCGGAAATCTGTGCTGAAGTCAAATCAAACTGAAAATAGTGTTTATTATTTTTACTTATTTTATGTTTGAGAAGAACTTACCGGTAGACGATTTTGCGTACCATTGATATTCAGATTTATGATTGTGACGGCAAATGTAACTCGAAGGCAAACTTCATTCTGATAAGTACAATTGATATTTATTAGAGAAAATCAATAAAGTTCTTTTTATGGAAAATCTTTTACAAATTCAACACTCTCATTGATTTATTGGAAAAAACCAATAATCTCCCCTCTTTTTATGGAAAATCTTTCAAAAATTTAATTAATATTTGGACAATAGCTATGAAAAAAGGTTTGCTTTGGTTAAATATTAGGTCGGTGCAAAAGTTCTTTCCGTTTTTT